CATTATGAACTTATTGTGTTTGAATTATCCTAAAAGAGGTCTTTTTATTTAGAAGATAATTGGAGAATCACTGTGAAGTAGTTGGTAAGTGAGACAGGAAGAGAGGAAAACCAAGAAAGAGCACACTGAGTAACTAATTACCTCTGCTGGTACAATGATCACCTTCCCCATTTGTGTAGGGTTAAGAAGGGTCCAGAACATAGAATTGTCAATGATAGAACTGGGGCAGCTCCAAAAATTCTGAGATAAGTTGGTTGTCCTACTGTATAAGCAACGGGGTCTCGATAATTCTGGAGACCTTCACAGAGGCCATATAGAATACAATTTAGAATTGTCCCAACAAAAGGCAAGGAAGCAGACTATTTATTTAACAACCTCAGTGATGAGGGTTGCTCCAAGTTCTAAAATTTCATTTACTTCCTATCTGATCTGTACAGAGACAGGGCATGTTCTGGTGTCTACAAAAAAATGTCCTCTGGAAGAAAAGCCCTATAAGTTGTTGGCATTTCTGAGAAATGTCCTCAGGCAAGCCCTGAGTTTGGTCAAAGGCATACAGGCAAGGCACCAACACAGTGTAATAAGGACTGTTTTTTCCTAATTTGGCTAGCCAAATGTTGCTTCCATTTACACTCCTTAATTAGTGGGGAATTTGGACCTAACTTCATATTTGCATCCTTTTGTGACATTACAAGTTTTTGAACATTTAAAGATACTTCTAGGGAGATAATTTTCTTGGCCTGGAACAACTGACTTTCATAAGAGAAAATAAATGTTTACTCAATGTACTTAAAATATGTGGACCTTAAGGTAGTATGTGGGGAGCAAGCTAAAGTATTTCATGTGAACCAAAGGTGAGAATGGATGTTTCAGTTAGCATTTGCAGAGTCACAGTCTTGTTGCAATTCCCTATATCTTTAAAGCAGAATAGAGTTTCTTGAGTGGTGCACAGCATGGCTTTTAGGTTCCCACTGAATTGACTTATGGCCATGATCCATACATGTCTCTCCTACAATGCTCTTCTCATACATTTCTTCACAGTCACTCACTCATTCCCTGCAATCCTCTAAGTTGTTGTGAGTGTACACTACTTCATCTCACTTCTGTAGTGGCCCTTGCTGACAATTTCTACTTTCATCAAGCCTCACTCACTGCTATTTCTCATTGGATTCTAACTCACCTGTGGGGAAATCAGAGCTGTTTAATGAAGCTCCCAGGATCATCATCACTGAACCTTAACTCACTCTAATCCCTAGTACAATTTAAACCACATGACATTACTTAGCTTAAAAACTACAGTCTGAAGGACTCACTGTAGGAAGAACATTCATAAGATGACTAAACAAATTCAAACTTTTAATTGTATCACTTCATTGATTAAGCTCCCACATATTTCCCCAGCCATGTATTATTATTAATCTTACCTAGTTTTATGCATTCCTTTTCACTATATTTCTTGGTACATAAGCTATAACTTTTTACAAGAGTGTTTTCCAGTCATTATTATAAACTCACAGTGCTTAGAATGATAATGTTTTGATAGTTTTATTTCTGGGAAGGAAGTACTTTATATAGTTTCTGCCTCATAAACTAGAACTTTCCTGCTAAGCTTTCATCTTGGCATGTATCTATTTCATACAGTAAACCAAACCTCATCTTACAAACATAACAACTAAGTTTTCAATGCATTAAGTGAGTTGCCTGAAGTTGCACAACTATGGAAAAGGACAGAGCTCTTCTTCCTTGGCTACTTTTTCTTTCATTTACATCCTCCCTTTCTCTCTTGTTTCTATGAAAAAAACAAAAAGAGAGAGAGCATTTCAGGCACCCACCTGCCTCAGCCCCCTATGCTTCAGGATTTTCCTCTGATACCTCCTTGTCCCACCACCAATTCACTCCATTTCAGAGAAATTCAGAATAGCTTCTTTGAAAAATCCCTTCAGAGCATCAACTTCCACAGGAATGGCATGACTTTCAGGAACACATACTACCTCCTCCAGACATTTGATACTCATGAGGCTTTATCTGAATAGTTATTCGCTTCTTTGAATATAATGTGTCTGTCTAACAACACAAATTCAAAGCCCCTGAGTACTTATATAATTCCTTGCATTCCCCATTATGCCTAAATGCCTATCATAATGCATTCAATAGATATTTCACAGGTATTTAATGAAGGTAATGACAATTTCATGGACAGAATCAGCTTATCATATTATATTATAGAAAATATATATGCACATATATAATATGTACATGTACCTTATACATTTATAATGTATATTCACACATTATGTATAGCTTCCAGTTGTTCTCGAGAATAAAATTAATTATATTTAGCAATATAAGTGTCAAGTAATTGCTCATAAACAGTGCTACCTGTAGAGAACAGACCGGATTTCACAAGTGAATATCTTTAACAAGGCAGAGGAGCTTCTTCTTGTTTGATTGTTTGGTTGGTTAGTTAGTTCTGGTTTTGTTTCATGTTTGTTAAAGCAACTGAATTACAGACCTGATGAAATGAATTTGCATTTAGAGAGCTGACAATTTTAGTAGTCCCTGATATGAAATGCCTTTATTTAATATACTTCCTGAGGGATGGCAAAGACCCAGAACCTAAACTCGAATTCTATGATATTTGAGCAACTGATTAAACCTAAAAATGAATTTTTGTTCTTTGGCTGAAGGTCAAGGAAGTAACAGACGTAGGAGAATATTTCCATCGGTCAATGAGCAATACGGCAAGAGAAAGGCAACTCACATTTATAATCTTGCCAGTGGTTTAGCAAGTCGTTAGGAGTTTAAAATTCAGTCTAAATCTCTTCTTACAGGTGTATGTGGAGACCTTTACACTGACTGGTGGGTAAAAGACTAAAAATAGGACTTAAAGGGGAATTGGGAGCAACGTAAGCCAAACAAAATAGTGCATGTTTTCTCTCATATGTGGATTATAGACCTAATAATAAGAATATGACATGGTTATGAAAGTGGGATTATTTAGACAGTGAATCAACCGAAGAAGGGAGGGAGAAAGGAAAGGGTGACGGGCTAACTATAATTAAAGAACATATATATATATATATATATATATATGAGAATAACATAATATGAAACTCACTAAAAACTCTTAAAAGGGGAATAGGAGAGAGCAGGTAAAGAAAGTAATCTGGGGATGAATTTGATCAAAGTACATTATATGTATATATAGAAATATCACAGTGAAGTCACTTTATACTGTTAATATACACCAATTTTTTAAATGATGGGATGTCATTTGTAGACTTTGTTTTGATTTTGAGTTGAATAGATCAGAGTACCTACACATAAATAAAGAAATGAGACAATTGAAAATTCAAATATTGGGTATTAAAGAGTACTGAGAATTATATTAGATTGATAGTAGTGATATGGCTAGTTTTTACAGACCCTTTGTCTTAGATGTACACACTGAAATGTTACAAATGAAAGTATACAATGCCTTCATTTGTTCCAAAATAAACAAGTCAGGAAGAGAGAGAGAGAGAAGGAGTGAGTTGGGGGGAATACTGGAATAAAGGTGAAACTAAATTGAGCAATGCTAGATGATTGAGAATTGAATGTGAATAGTGAGCATATAAAGGTTCATTCTTTGTACTATGAGCTATGCTTCATACTATTATATTTGAATTTTCATAATAATCTTTTCAATAAATTCAAAAAATGAAGAGGTAATATAGTAAATAAATAATGGGAAAATTTTTTTGATCTTCAAGGTATTTAAAGATAGCTATTTTTTTCCTTTTTTACCAGGTTAAGACAGGTTTGAATTGCCTTAGGGCTACTAGAAATTCTTAGGCAAAGGAGAAGCCATTTAAAGAAAAGAGAATATGTTGCTAAGTTGACCATGAACTATAAATGTCCCAAATTTATGAAAAGCAAAGTGTGTCAGCTAACACTTGGTAGACTGCTCCAAGAAGAACAGAAGTTAGTGAAAATCTTATCTTAGATTTAAAATCTTAGTAGAAACTAAGATTCTACTACCCTGTGGTTCACAGTAAGAACCCAATGTTTTAGAGGCCCTGTAGTGGATAGCACCTGGGGAGAATTGCTTCCAGAAGATTGGTGGAAACTCATTTGGTATGCCTGATGCTGTCAGAGTATTTTTCAGTCAGAAGCAAGGCATTTGGGTCTTTTAGAGCTTAAAATTACCAGTTTAAAAGTAGCCAATAAAAATTAACTTAATGAACTATACACAATTACAAAATTTCTGACACCAAAGAAAGATATTGACACAAGAAACTAACAGTGATACCAATTCCATCTGTTCAGAAGCAAAGAGCTAGAAAGAATGAGAGGTCTGGAAGCTGTCACAGAAAACATCAGGCTATATGGCTCTATGATCTTAGAGAAAAAGCCAAATATAAAAGTTCCCATCTGTGAAGACTGAGAAACACTTGTCATACACATTTAGTTAATAAAACAGTGTAGCATGAAGAAACCTGGTTTTCCTATCTGGATGGGGTTGCTGGGGTTTGGCATAATTCCATGTAAGAAGAAAGTAGTCATTATTCTTCATGTAAGATACTGTTAGATACAGAAATTTTATGGGAAAAATCAACTTGTTCTTCAAAGAAGATTTCAGGAAAATTGGGTCAACATGAGGTACTACATTGACAATACTTTTGTATCTTAAGATTCTTTCTGAAATTTGTTAAGAGTATAATGAATAATAATTTTAATAATATGGACTTTTAAAAGTTAATCATGGCCCAACAGTAAGAAAAAGCATTTAATTCTGTTTATATACTGGAACTTCAAAAAGAACAGTAACCATTCAAGTCATTTAAGTGGAATTTCTAAACCTTCCCCAGAACTGAACATCAAGTTCTTAAAGCCAAAAGGCTGTGACTGAACTGAGGCCACCAAAACAGTACATAGACTGGACTATGTTTATATATTTACACCAAGTTTATCATAAGTTATTCTTTGCATTTCATCATGAACTTTCACATGTGGCTACTCACCATTTTCATCTTCCTACAGAACTCTGAGTTAAGATCCAGTCCAGCCCAGCTTACCAACTGTGATTCGAGGAGATGCAGTTCAAAACTAAGACAGTAAAGTACACTGATAGATGATCAACCTTTGACCTTTGTGCTTGAATCTATAGGAGCCCCTGATTAGGCTGAAAATGCCCTGGGTAGCATCTTAGGACTTATCTTGGTCAAAAACATGTAGTAAAGTTCTGAATAACTGGACCCAAGTTTCATACTAAGTTGGTGGGTTGGCAATAGGAAACAGAAACCACAGGAAGCTGAAGAACAGTCAAGAACAGTATTGTCTCTTTATTTAGAATTTCAAAAGAACCAAAAGCAATATTTGCCTCTTTAGGGGGTTGAGATCTTAAAACCATCCTGTTAATGACTTCTGAAGAACCAGAAGTTTGATAAAACTCCCTAGTGATGCTAATGTGCTTCTGATTAGACCCCAAACTTCTTACCCCTCATGGAAGAAGAAATAGTAGCTCTCCAGAGCTGCCTTCTCATTGAAAAAACCTGATTATTCTTATTTGAGGCAACATGTGGTCATTGTCCTATTGGCAATCTTCTTTTCAAATTGTGCAGTGTGCTGTTATGTCCAACTATGAGACGCAGCATGTGCAAAAGTAAGTCAGAAAGGACTGGCTAGCTGAGGAAAAAATATTGTAGGAAGGCAACTAGAGACTGATTTGGCCAAAAAGGATGTCAAGGGAATTTCCAAAATCACCTAACTGAATAGCAATGACAGCAGTTAGTTAGTGAGCAGAATCCACCAATTTCAGGAATTACAATATTTTTTAAGGAAAAGGGAACTCAATGACTATAAAAAACAAATGTCAAGGAGGTACCCTACAACTATCAATTCTGCCGTACAAGGAAAAAATGCCTCATAGAAAACCACTTCACAACAAACTCTAAACTTCCCTCCTGGCAACGTCTTAAAACAGATGTTTTTTTCAGATTTTTGAAAAAGCATTACCAATGTTTTAGCTCTCCATAATATTATAAAACATTTTCAAAGGTTTTCACTATCCCATTTATACTATCTGATAATGGTGGAGCAGAATTCATTTTTAGCCAATGAAAGAACTTTTCACAAGGTCCTGAATTTGAGCCCAGACAACCCCCAAAAAGTACACTGAACTGCATGTTCAAAGTTCTCAAAACACACATATGCATCACCACCAACAACAAAGACAAGAACCACAAACAAGTTTTCCAGTACTGGCCTCAATTTTTAGTAACTGTTCACCATGAAGAGTCCTCTAGCACTCTTTGCACCACAAGGGAAAGAAGAAAAATGTATGATCTTGGTTTTAGCACTAGGACAGATGCTTTCCTCTCTCTGTGTGAAAATTTCAAGGGTTTCTGACTACCCACAAAAAATTTACAACCCAGACCCACAACCTTTTTTAAAAAACAAGGAAGTGCTGGGGCCTCTCCCCAACTGTGACAATGTGCTCAGGCTGCTCAGTGTTAGCCACAGCAGCCTCAGTTGCTAACAGCTCTGACCACCAGAGGAAATGTGCAGACAGACTACCAGTCATCAGTCATGGAAGGAGAAAAAATACCCCAGATAGCACAAAGACTTAGCAACTGCTCTGGCAAACTGTAGCCCAGAGAAATAAGGAAAGAAAAGAGAGTTTACGAAAACAGACTCAGGGCAGAGGAAGTGTATAGAATTATCCTTCAGCGATGAATTCATACACACTCGTTATCTTTCCATCCTCACTGGTCATCAAACATAGCAGAAGGATTGTCCTAGCTGGTAAAGAAATACAATAACACCATTTTAAATATCTTCTATTTCCATATAATCTTGATCTCCTGAAATAATATTTACATCCTGCCTATTTATCGTATATGCTCTTATTGTACATTAGTATAAGCAACTATTTTTTCTCTCAAAAACTCTGTAATGCCAAGAAACTCCTCCAATTTTTTTTCCATTGGAGAAGATACCAAGATCATCCACCCTGTTATACAGTCATACACAGAAGGCATGCTTTTGGTTACTTATGTCACTCTAGTTTCTAATCTCCAGGTCAGTTAATTAGCCTAAACAAATGCATCTTTAGCAAGCAAGTTCTTATTTCAAAAAAGGGTAACCCCCTAGCAAGATGTCCATGAATGGAAGATGGCAGAAAGGAGAAAAATCAAGCCCTGAGCTGACATTATCTTGGCTTGCGTGTTCTTTAACTATGTATGTCTATACAGTGAGGAACAACATCGAGTTTTCTTTCCAATGAGTGTAAGAAAGAAACTAGCATACCTCTCAATTATATGATTTAAGATGTCATTGAGTAACTTAAGACTACCTTCTCAACATGTGGGGTCAGAGTAGGCCTACAGACTCTTAATTGGTCCTTTTAGTATTATAAGGGTCAGAGTGCACTGTTTGGAGGTGAATTGCTTCCGAAAAAAGTGTGTTTCTTCATGACTCTGCCTGGCCTGAGCTGGTCCACTCCTTGCCTAGACATCTGACGATTCTAAAGCTAGATGTCAGAGATATGCATGAGAAATAGTTTTTTTAAATAATAATAATACTGATTTAGGAGGACTAGGGAGAGTGTGTTCTACTTATCTAGAATTAGTGGGTTAAAAATCAAACAAGAAGAACCCTGAGGCAGATAAAAGATGGCCATGAATTCTTGATGCTTTTGGAGAAGGGAGATCTATCTTTCTCCCTTTGCATCTGGATAGCTGGTAACTGCTGTGATAAACAGCATGTGGCAAAAATGACACTCTGCAGGTATAGCCTTAATGCTAAGAGAACTGGCAATTTCCCCCTGATTTCTGGGAGCTCTATGCTCTTACACTGTTAAGTCTTACCCCCAACTACTGAAATCACATGGGAAATCCCTGAGTTGACATGGAAAGATGGAACAGCCAGTTAAGTCCAGCCTTCCAGTCACCCCCACCAAGGCAGCCAGCATGGGATGCACCACAACAGCCAGGACACAGGCTGAATACACCAAGAGGAATCACCCAGCTAAATCCTGTGTGAATTCTTAACCAACAAAAGTATGTCATATAAAAAAACTTTTTTTTTAATCCCAGGTTTTTGGGATAGTTTGCATGCAGAAATAGATAGCCAATGCCCAATCTCTGAGAAGAGTATATAATTTTGTTGTTTGGTTTTTTGGGGTTTTTTTTTTTTTGTGCAACTGGGGGGTTTGAATTCAGAGTTTCACACTTGCAAAGCAGGGGCTCTACTACATGAGCTGTGCCAAGGGTCCATTTTGCTCTGGTTATTTTGGAGATTGAGGTCTGGTGAACTATTTGCCTGAACTGGCCTTGAAATGGAATCCTCCTGATCACAGCCTCCCAAGCAGCTAGAGTTATAGATTTGAGCCACTGGCACCCAGCAAGAAGAGCATATAGTTTTAAAAACAAAATTCACAATTATGAAAAACTTGATACACTTCAAATGTTAGTGAGCAGATAAAAAGTACATTGCAATCTCAGTGTTTGTTCCATGACATGCACATACCTAAAGGAAAAGCTAAGAAGAAATGATATAAATGAACTGCCTATTGGAAAGGCTTTACAAAATAGGTGTTACATAACAGATAGCCTTCTGAAAGTTGTATATAAACTGGGTTTTTGCAACTCTTTGCAAAAAAATACCTATAGATTACTGCTTCATGAAAGTCATCATGCTAACAGCTAAGGTTATAATGATAAAAACATAATTGCTGCCCTGGAAAAGTCTGCTCTCTAGCAGAGCATTGGCTAATTGATATATAAATTTAAAAATTGGTTTAGATGTAGGGTTGGCAAATTTTTCTGTAAAGGGACAGATAGCAAATGTTTCAGCTTCACAGGCCAAATCTGCCATTGTGGTATAAGATCAGCTTTAGATAACACATAAATAAATGAGAGTAACTGAGCTCCATAACAACCTTACTTATTTGAATTTCACATAAGTTTTGTGTGCCTTAACATTATTTCTTATTGCTTTTGACCACTTGAAAAGGTAACATTGGTCCTTAGCTTATAAGCTATACAAAACCAGATGGTAGGCTAAATCTTTTTTCAGACTGTTCAGATAGATATAGAGCAGATGAAACTTGAAAAAATACATACAAAAGGTGCTATGGATTTGCAAGGATGCGAATAATAAACTGTCTTCTGTTTGTGCTTTCTTCCAGTCATTTGGACATGCACCATAGTCTGTGAGAGGAGGCTTAGACATTTTATCAGGGAGGAGCTCTGGGAAACATGAAGGCCCCAGATGAGGAATGGAGTCAGGCTGCTGGGAAGAGGAGGAAGCACAGATAGAATGGGAAAGCAGATTCCTAAAGGCAGCCTGGTGTAAGCAAGAAGCAAGAAGCATGCCAATAGCAAAAGAAAGATTTTGGGGGGAGAAGATAGAGTACCAATATTTAAGAAAAATTTCCCACTTTGTAAACTTCTAGGGCTTTTGAGTAAAGTTCCTCATGGAAAAAATAAGACACCTAGAGACAGGCAGATTGGAAGCACCAAACTAAATAAAGAAGTGAACTTAAGGTGTTTCTGTTATTGAAAGGCAATTATTTGTTTATTCCTTTGGGTATCCACCTACTCTTTTAAATTTTGTCATTCCTCTTTATGCTGAAACAAGTTCATTTTGGCAAAAAGTTTGCTGAAGATTTGGTACTTTGCATAGTGAAGTTTTATGGTTGCTTTGTTTTCATATAAAAGGTCATCAAAACTGTCATAAAAGTTAAAAATCTATGCAGTAGATTTCCACAAGAAGCTTCTTTGCACTTACACACACACAAACACATACCATCCCACAGATATGATTTCATAAAAGAGCTGTCTCTACTGGGAGAAAAGAGTCAAGACACACACTTTTCTACCCTTTGTTATGATTCAAGAATGATGTGTCTCCTTCTTAAATTCTTGTCACACTTTTAGTAGTATGGAGGTGTGCTTCTTTCCCTAGGGTAGTAGCTGTGACCTATATTTTCATGTTCTGATGCACTCTGAGGCTTCCTCTTCCTTTCAGGAAGCCCGTGATGACTGTGTCCAAAGTACAGTTTCCAATAGCTGATGACTTCCCACGTCAGATGAGGTCCCAGTTGTTTCTCTCATCCCGTTCATGCAGACACCCAAACAACAGGAATTAGGTAAGCATGTAAACTGTCCCAAGATAGGTCTAGTTCTGCTCTGAGGAAAAAAATAGAAAGTCTTTTAACAATGGACAGGCAGTATTTTGCATGATTTGTATAATATCCACCAGATGACTAATGGCTTGTGGGTTTTTTTT